ATTACCCATTGTCTCAAATCTTCCAAGAGTAACATCTTACAAAGTCTGAATAATGTTTTTTTTCTTGTTACAGAGTTGCAAGTAGCCCTTAGTTATTTAATTCACCTTTTTTTTTTTAGCTTTTAAGCCAAGGGTTTTGGGTTTTGGGTTTTTTTTTGTTTTTGTTTTTGTTTTTTGTTTTTTTGTAATTGAGGTAAAATTCAAATTACAATAAAATTAACAATTTTAAAGTATGCAATTCTGTGTCATTTACTACAATGGTACTTCAAAATGTTCATGAAAAGATTCCTATTATCTTTATTTTATTTTATTGTTTTTTATATTCCATGATGTTGCAGAGCAGTCGGGAGGGAGGGGGAGAGGGGAAAGGGGTAGGAAATGGGGGGGAAGTAGGAGGAAGGAGGTGGGGTGGGATTGAGGCCTGTGGCAACCCCCTCATTCCTGCAGGGGAGACTGGGGGGCTTCCAGCAGTGTCTTGGTCATTGGCAGGCTCAGTGCAGGTATAGTGGGGTTTGGCAACAGCCCTCACCTCCCACCTCCCTGGCTCGGGAACCCATGGCCCTTCTTGCTGTGGCTGCATGGTCGTCACTAGGCTGGTTGTTCATGCTGGGGGGGCGGCGTGACCAAGGCCCAAGCCCCCCACCGCCCCGGCTCAGGACAGCCAGGGACACTTCTGAAGCAGCTTGGTGGTTGTCACTGGGCTGGCTGCACATGGTGTGGGGTGCATGGCCAAGGCCCTCAGACCCCCACCACCCTGACTCAGGACAGCCTGGGGCATTTCCTGCAGCAGCTCAGTGGTCATCATTAGGGAGGTTGCCCTTGCTGGTGGGGTGTGGCCAAAGCCCTCAGACCCAACCATCAGGACTGGTTGCAGGTGTCAGGGGGCTGGCTGAGGCCCACAGTCCTCCCCCCTTTCTGGTTTGGTAGCCTAGAAGACTTCCAGTCCTTCTAGGTGTTATAGGTGTTCTTTGGTGAGATGAGACCAAATTACTAGTTATTATCAAACTTTGTCTTTGGTTTGGGGTACATTGTTTTTTCTTTCAGTTCTGTGTTGGATTATTTGCTGTTCCAACCTCTTAAACTCTGCACTGGAACAAATTTGTTGTCCTTTGCTTACTTCTAAAACGGGGGAACTTCCTGTGAGGACCAGTACTTGAGCTCTGTGGTTGAGCTAAATTGCTGCTTTGCTGCTGATTCCCTAGGGAAGGCTTTTTGTGCAGCTCAGGTTTTAATGGTTGACTTATAGGACTTCTGGTTCTAGTGAAACCCAGTGTACCTGGGTTGTGTAGAAACACTGGACTGGACCTGAGTCTTTTCAACAAACTGCACCCCATGCAATTCTATATTCTTGACCAGTCTCTTCTGAGTGGTCCTATGCTGATTGGGGTGCTGATCAGCTGTCCTTGCTGTGCCCCAGTGTTCCCCCAGTTGGCCTGTCTCCCCCACCGCCTGTGCTGCAAACACTTCCCATGGGATAGGCCATGTTCCAGTCCCTGGTGATGACTCACTGGCCTCTGAATGTCTCCTTTTTTTTAGTTGTTGTGGTTCCTCAGTCCTATGTGGGTCCATGGGAATCCTATTAGTGGTATTGCTGGCCTGGGGGCCACCAAGGCCCTCTTCTTCCCTGCAGCATCCAAGCAATTTCATCTGAAGGGCACAGCTGCAGCTTTTTGCCAGCTCCTGCTCTGTGTGCTCAGCAGCTCCAGTCTGGAAATGGCTGAGATTTGAAATGGTCAGAGGGGTTTCTTATTTCTCTCATCGTGACTTCTCCCACCTTCATGCACTCCATAAGTCTCTCCTCCTCTTTTCCTGAGCTCTAGCAGCCCCAGCTTGGCTGTTGTTGCTTTTTTATAGCTGTAAATTGGTTGATTTGTGGGAGAGAGTGACACTGGGGACTGTATTCCACCATCTCAACCAGAAGTCACTTGTGTTATCTTTTAATTCTATTTTTCCACAAACTTTTTGAAGTACCCACATATATTCACTTGTTCTAATACTACCTCTATCTGTTTTAATACATTTCCATCAATTAAGTAATTTTTTTAAACAACTGATTTCTTAACTTGGGGGTGATAGGAAACTCATAACATTGCAAGTGTCAAATAAAGGAATCAAATATTTATCTCATTGTCCTTAGATAAGCTATTTTACTGGGTAACCAAATAATAGATGAGGGAAAGTGGCTCTTTTTAAAAGTATTCCAAATGATAAATAGAAAAGAAATTATCAGTTTGATATTTCACTATTTGGAACCTCTGATGAATTAATGGATCTTGCCATTTAGCATGAATATGTACAAACATCACAAAAGAAATACAAACATGTGTTTTGCAATGAAAGAACATGACACCATCTGTGGTTTTGCCAAAGAGAACAAAATAGTTTGTCCAAGCCTCTGTATTTACCTACCAATTTTCCAGAAACACAGAGGACAGGGAAACATGTTGAAGAGCACCAGGAGTATGTAGTCAACAAAATTCAGATGGTGGGAAACTCTACATGTCAAATCCCCTCAGTTCTTCGAACAATATATTGTAAGGGAAAAAACAGGTTGGAGGAAAAACTTGTAGATTAAAAGACTTTAAAGACATAATAATTGTTTTTAATGAGCAAGATTAAACCTAGTATCTAGGGATGCACATTCAGGTGATAAAACTAAAGAAATTCAAGGAAATGATAACTATAGGTCATAGTTATGGTTACTTTGGATAAGAGAAAAGGGATTATGACTGGAACAGGGCACAAGCAGAAGCTTGAAGTTTTATTTCTTGACCTGAGTAATAATTGCAAAAGTGTAATTAAAAATTTGTTAAGTTTCCCCTAAGAGCAGGAAGAAGATAATGATGCTGGTTTTCACCACTGCTATTCAACATTGTACTGAAAGTTCCAGCCAGAGCAACTGGGCAAGAGATAGAAATAAAGGCATCCAAATGAGAAAGGAAGAAGTAAATCTATCTCCCTTCACAGATGATAGGATCTTATATAGGGAAAGCCCATAGAATTTACAATAAAAAAAGAAGCTACTAGAGCTAAAAATGAACTCAGCAAAATTACAGAGTACCAGATCAACACACTAGATATACAGATATATAGAAAAATCAGTTGTGTTTATATATACTACTGTATATATAGAAATATATATATGTATGTATATATGTGCAACAACTCCAAAAGTATGAGCAACAAAAGAAAAAAATAAATTGGGCTTTATCAAAATTAAAAACTTTGGGGCATCAAAGGGCTTTAGCAAGAAAATGAAAAGGCCACCTGTAACATTTACATTCCCACAAGCAATGTGTGAGGGTTTTTTTAAGAAATGGAAGGGATGAAAATATTTGCCAATCAGATGTNAGAAATAAAGGCATCCAAATGAGAAAGGAAGAAGTAAATCTATCTCCCTTCACAGATGATAGAATTTACAATAAAAAAGAAGCTACTAGAGCTAAAAATGAACTCAGCAAAATTACAGAGTACCAGATCAACACACTAGATATACAGATATATAGAAAAATCAGTTGTGTTTATATATACTACTGTATATATAGAAATATATATATGTATGTATATATGTGCAACAACTCCAAAAGTATGAGCAACAAAAGAAAAAAATAAATTGGGCTTTATCAAAATTAAAAACTTTGGGGCATCAAAGGGCTTTAGCAAGAAAATGAAAAGGCCACCTGTAACATTTACATTCCCACAAGCAATGTGTGAGGGTTTTTTTAAGAAATGGAAGGGATGAAAATATTTGCCAATCAGATGTCTGGTAAGGGTCTAGTATCCAGGATACATAAAGAACTCTTACAACTGAGTAAAAGACAACTCACTTTAAAAATGGAATATACATTTCTCTAAAAAAGATAAACAAATAGCCAACAAGCACATGAAAAGATATTTAACATCATTAGTCATTAGGAAAATACAAATCAAAACCACAATGAGATACCACTTCATACTCACTAGGATGGCTATAATTTTTTTAAAAATTGTTTAAAAACACAAAAAATAAGTGTAAGTAAGGATGTAGAGGAAATGGAACCTTTACACATCGCTGGTGAGAATGTAAAGTGTTACGGCCACTGTGGAAAATATTTTGGTGGTTTGTCAAAAAGTTAAATGTAGCATTATGATACAGTCCAGCAATTCTACTCTTTTATATGTATCCAAAAATTAAAAACAGGTACTCAAATAAGTACATGTACACACACATTCATAACAGCACTACTCGAAACAACCAAAAATTAGAAACAGCCCAAACGTCCATCATTTTTATGGATGAATGGATAAGCAAATTGTAGTATATATCCATATAATAGAATATTATTCAGCCATAAAAGGGAATGACATACTGTTACATGCTACAATGTGGATGAATCTTGAAAATATTATGCTAAGTGAAGGAAGCCCATGACAAAAGTTCACATACTGTACAATTTTATTCATATTAAATATCTAAAACAGGTAAATCTATACAGACAGAAAGCAGATTAGTTATTGCCAAGGACTTAGGGAAGAGCAGAATGAGAAAAACTGCTTACTGGGTAAGCAGTTAGTTTTGAGTGATAGAAATGTTTTGAAACTAGTTACAAAGAAGCGGCAGTTGCTAACATTGTGAATGTACTAAATACCACTGAATTGTCTGCTTTAAAATGGTTCATTTTCTGTTATTGAATTTTACGTCAATAAATCATTTTGAAATGCATCAGGCTATTAAAAAAGATAACCTGCAATCCCATATACATTTTATAAATGCTGTAGGATGAGCTAATGTGTGCATGCACTCTTTTGTTGAGAGGAGTGGAAAAGTGAGGAGATGCTAATTCTGAAATGGTCACTTTGGACAAAAAAATCGTCAGACTCCCTTTCTGGCTCATAGTCATTATGGTAATTATTTCATAAAATGAAAAGTTTCCATTTCCCCCACATATCAAATTCATTCTAACACATTTCTTCTGGTTTAGTGACAAGCTGTTTAAACATATGGTTCTTGTATTTTACAGACATACTTGGCAAGTGCAAGACAAAATTGACGCAAACAACGTGGCTTACACAACTGGGAAGCTGAGCTTTCACACCGATTATCCGGCCCTCCATCATCCACCTGGGGTAAGGTGAGCCTCAACATATTTTCCACAAGGCAGGCCAAGGACCAATATCCTCCTATATTTTGAATCTTGAAGATTATGTTTCACCAGCTCATTCGGCTTATGTAAATCTTTTTTCTTCAAACACAATCCAAACTTACAAAATCTCTGTACCTAAATTCTGATATGCTCATATTCTTAAGGGATAGGACATTTTCACACATCTACTTTTAAACATTTCTTTGTTTCTTCCTGGAAATAACTTTTGGCACTTCTTGCTTTGCCAACACAAAATTTAAGACAGCAGTACATCTTGAGGTCTTTCTGCACATACATCACTCCCAAGAGAGTTAAAAAAGAAATTGAATTCAGGAAGCACAATGTAGAGTTTTTCCACAAAGTCACATGGACATCATTCATATCAGTTAGCTACTGCTGCATAAAAACCAACTTTATAACTTAATGGCTTCAAAGAACAGCTATTTACTTAGCCCATGTTTAATTTAGATTGCATTCAGCTAGGCAGTTCTTGTCTGCAGTCATACACCCATACTTAGCTGCTGTGTTGGCTAGAGACTGGGTTGACTTCAGCTGAGAGGGCTTGTATGTGTTACACTTGGACTATGATCCTCCAGCAGGCTAGCCCAGGCTTAGGCACATGGCAACTGGCAGAATTTCCAGAGAACAAACCAAAGCATGCAAGGCATCTTGAGGCCTAGGCTAGTAATCAGCACAATGTCACTTTCACAACATTTTTTTGGTCTAAGCAAGTCATAAGTCTAGTCAGATTCATGAGGTGTCTGATGGGAGGAGCTGCAAAAATGCATTACAAAGGGGTGTGAATAGAAGGAATAGAATAACTGCGGCTATTTTTGGAAATCTTCTACCATCCCATCTATCTGATTCCTTGTCAAGGAGGGAGATGCTCAATGTGGATCCACAAATTCCCCAAGAAAATTTCTGGGTAGACACTTCCTCTACATTTCTACAAAATTGTCAGTTTACTAAACCAGCTATATTTTTTATAAAATCATCATTTTGCTAAGCCAAAAAAACAAATGGGCAGGAAACTACCTCTTAAAAATATTTTTAGAGCTTAATTGGAGTAAATGAAGTAACCAGATAGAAATCTGTACCTTCAAAGGTAAATGAAAATTTGGGCAATTCTCAAGTTAATGGAGAAGAAATGGGCTAAAATCAAAATCATTTTTTTCCCATATCTCGACTGGACATATATTCTCTGTACCCTTGATCTTACCCATTGTTCTCACCAGTATTAGCTAAGCTACTCTAGTATTTGATTTCACGAAAGGTAAATGAAAATTTGGGCAATTCTCAAGTTAATGGAGAAGAAATGGGCTAAAATCAAATCATTTTTTTCCCATATCTCGACTGGACATATATTCTCTGTACCCTTGATCTTACCCATTGTTCTCACCAGTATTAGCTAAGCTAGTCTAGTATTTGATTTCACATGTTTTAAATTATTTTGTTCATTGTAAAGCACCACATGATTTCTTTGAACTAAATGATGACAGTAAAATGACCTCTATAGTCCCCTTTTTGGGTAGATGTTGGGGTGAAGAGACATACAATGTGATTTATTCTAAATGTAGATCAGAGATTTTTCAGAAATGCTGGGGTTAAAAGCCAAACCCAATTTATCTGCCAAAGACAGGTTGGACAAGTTGGATGGAATAATGCTTGAAAAGTGAAACTAGAAAACTATTTGAATTTTTAAACTATCTCCTGTTCTTTATGAGTTTAAGTTTTGTTTCTGGGTTAAAATTAAAGCCTAAGGAAAAGTAATTAAATGATTTCATAAATATTCCTGAAGTATGATACAATGCTTGACATTTTCACAGCACTTTATACTTTTTCAAAGCATTTTTGCTTGTATTACTTTTTATGATCCCTATAAACATTCCTTTAAGGTAGACAGGACTGAGCATGTCTTTTTATGTTAGATAAGGAAATGAAGCACAGGTTAAATACTTTTATAGGGTGACATCTGATTAATGAGAAAATTAGACTTGAACCCAGGCCTTCATCTAGTTTTTCATCACACCATACTGATCTTCAGTTGGAATTTCTAATTACCATAATATATATAACACAATAGATTATTTATAGATATTGTCATACTTTACAAACTCTTTAAAGGCAGGAACTGAATCTTGTACTTCTTTATAGCTGAAGACTTAATACAGTACCTTGCACGTAATAGAGACATAACAGAGATGTATAAAGAGGCAAGAAAGTATCTTCATCAATGAATGAAACATCCAAGATAAATTACACGATAGGAGATTTTAAAATAACAAATGGTTCCTAAAATGTCTAGATTTTAGTAGAGGAATGATAAAACATAGGTATCTGATAATACTCTTGCTCAAATTTTGAATTCTCATTTTGAACTATTCAGGGATTTTTGCATCAAAGTTTGTGCTTTTCTACAACAAATAGAACAAGTCATTTTTTTTTCAGTACAGATGAAATGATCTGGATAATGAGTTACCTGTGGAGAGTTCAGTTTGATTAATTTGGATCATGTGGGACAGGGATAAGGGGACATCTTTAATGAAACACAGATGTTGCTTTGCTAACTGTCTTTCTCTGGGCCAAAAGTCACATGCTACCATAAAGTAACGTTTGAAAAGAAAATATTTTTGGTCACGAATGATTCACATGAAATAAAATTGGGTTTTAGACATGACAGGCCTCTATTTACCTTTTGAATTAGTGGTGAAAGTGTTGTCAGGCTCCACCATCTTTTTTCTCTTATAAGAATATATTAAAGTGTCACTATACAAAAGAAAATATTACTTGGCCCTGCCATACATAAAAGATATGAGCTGATCTTTGTAAAGACTACATTTGAAATATTCTGAGTTCATAATGGCAAAATCTAAAAGGATTTAAAGAACCTTTGATTCTCCCAAAGAAAAAGGTAAACTATTGTTCAGCCTTCTTGGAGTTTGGTAGACTCGAGGTTGACCTTCCCACTTCCTCTTCTTTTTCATCATGTTGCTCCATCCCTCATTGACCTGGTGAAATGATTTTCTACAATGGCTTGACCCATTTATACACATATTTTGTCAAGCTTAAAAAACTTACATCAATTTAAAGATTGAACCATTATTAATTTAGACCAGTTTTCGTCCAACATCAGAAAATAAGGATAGACATTCTCTCTAAATTTACAAAGCACATGTATACATACCACATAACTCTAAATTATTAACAGTTTCTTAAAGGGATTTCTCACTTTGAAGAAAAGGGACTGCTGTATATTGGGGATATACAATATACAGTCCCTGTATAAAGGGACTGTGCATATTGAGGCAAATGAGCCAAGGTTTGAATACCAACTTTACCATGCATTAGCTGAGTTCTTATTAATAGGCCAGTTTTGACACCTCTGTATTCAGTCTCTTCCTCTTCAAAGTGGAGATAAATGAATCAAATTGTAAGGACTATTATGAGGAGTGTGTATGTGACACAATTATAATTTGAAAGCACATATGTATAGCATTGTTAGAATTGGGAAAACTTGTGCGGTTTGGAGGGGAGACATGATTTATATTCTAGAAATATTCATAGCATTGTTAGAATTGGGAAAACTTGTGCGGTTTGGAGGGGAGACATGATTTATATTCTAGACCAGCACTGTTCAATATGGCAGCCACTAGCCTCAAGTGCCTATTAAATTTTAATTTAAATTAAGATTAAATAAAAGTTAAAATTCAGTTCCTTAGTAACACTAGCTTCATTTCAAATGCACAACAGCCACATGGAGCTAGTGACTACTGTATTGAGGAGCACAGAAGAACATTTCCATCATCACAGATAGTTCTGGTGGACAGCAGTATTCTAGTCCATCTATGGAAAAAACCAAGCTAAATGAATATTTTTTCCATGAAGATTGATATCCCCGTAGGCTGGGTATTTGGCCATATTTGCTTCTTCCATTCAACAAGAACTCACTCAGACATTGGTTTTTATTTTATTTCATTCAGTAAAAATGAAGTTTTCACAGCTGAATAGTATTAGTTTCTTCAAACAGAAAACCAAAGTCTAAATTTAGGTATTCAAAAGCACCCACCCATGCTGACTTAGCAAAAGGACTCACAAAAGCAATGAAAAATTCCATTCACAGGAATATTTTTAGGGTTGGCCGGTTAGCTCAGGTAGTTAGATCACAGCCTTGTAACACCAAGGTCACCGGTGTGGATCCCCATACCAGCCAGCAGCCAAAATACAGAAAGAATATTTTTAAAATTGTACTATGTTTTGCTTTTTGAATGGAAACAATGTTAAAGGTTTTCCCCAAATCTTAGTAAAAATAATTAAATACTTAACTATCCCTTTAGTTTCTCATTCTCAATGTTTCTTGGGTTTACCCGTCTTTATAGTTCCTCATTCCCTTGTTCTTAAACCTGAACTATTGCATTAGATTCTCAAGTAGCTACTCTCTGACCAGTATCCCCCTCAAAAAAATGTTCATCCTCTGTAAAACCAGTGGACTAATATTCAGTTCTGACTATGTTACTTCTATATTCAAAAGCCTTCAATGATTCTTCACTAGGCACAAGAGAAAGCACAAAATCTTTCATCTGACATTTATGAGGAGGTCCCGAATCACCCTTCCACCCTGATTTACTCTTCCCGTTTATGACCCTCTGCTGCAGCCAGACTTTGTGCTACCCAGTGAGCTGTGCGTTTCTGCACACTCATCATCACTG